GCGGATTTGCCGCGGCAAGTTCACCATGGCACCAGTGTACGGCTGCCACTCCCAACATCACCGCTTATTGCGGTCATCAAAAATCCACCAGCGGCGATATCTTGGTATCACCTCGCCGTGGTGCTTTCCATTTGAGCCCCACCCCTCACCCATTCCCGAACTTACAAGAATAATGAATGCACAGTACAACGTACGGAACTAGCCCCCCTCACCCCTTCCCCAACGTATCTGTGATGAATTTTAACTAAGTTCCTAGGGGGGGGCGCCTGCTACTACTACTCGTAATACTTGGACGTCCACCAATACAGTTTTTTGTTGGTTCTTGCCTTTTGTTCTTGAGAAACATTCCGTATAGATCATTGGGTGCGGAGGAGATCCGCCGCAATTCATTCTTGATTTCATTGTGGCTAGAGGTCTCTGGCTACCTCCTGGGTAGTAGAACAAGTAAATCAGGATTTTGTATAATTCAGCTCCCCTAGTACACCAGACATCTTAGCCAATAGCATCCACTTCGCTGAGCATCCAAGCCCTGACGGTAATAACGTTCGTGCCCTAGAGCATCCATGCCGTTACCATAAGAATTTTTGTGCTCCAGAGCAGCCAGGGGATACATGAAGCTCTTTATCCCTAGTAATTTCACAAATGTCAAGCAGAGGCTGCTGCTGCTGTTCGTGCAAAGCTTTCAGGGCGCTCTTTGCACACCAGCAGGGACATGCTGTTCAAGTCCAGAGGTTGGTACCTGAAAGTTGCGATGCTGAAGCTGGTCGTGAAAAGGACGTTCCTGGCGCACTGCTTTTGTTGCAAAAAAAAGACAAAGACATTCTACCATGCCTTGGAAATTTCATTCTATATGGACTGCTGTTTTTGCCTTTCCAAATCGAAATCATGTTAATTAACATCTCTGAGTTCTATTTCGCTCGCGGCAGCAACAGTAAAAATACCTAAAAGACTGGAAGGTCAGCTGTTTTCAGCTTGACGAAAACATCTTTCTGAAGCAAAATTCAGAACCATCTCCAATGCTGAAGCCTGCAACGAGCGCACTGTTTTCCTTCAAAAACCCACGCGGCTGCAACAACGCGACCCAGAATAGGTCCATTTGAGATAACAGCTAAATGAGGTTGCCGCCGTGGCGAAACACGCATTTTGATAACATCAGAAAGGTCGGTTTTGAAGCCGCCGTAGTGGTGTAGAAGCAGAAACAATAGTAATAATAATACTACTAGCTGACCTGATTAGCTGTCAGGCACGAGGACAACGTGAATTTGGACAGGTCCGGAGTGAGCTTCGTCATCCATGCTCGCCTTGGCATCCAAGCGGGCATAGTTCCCTCCCTTTACAAGGTGCAGGCTTTGTGGCGGGAAACCAGAGACTATACACGTGAGCGCCTGGACAAGCCCATGCGCGCGACTTTGGTGCTTTGTTTGTTTAAGGAAGTGCTTAGCCGAGTAGAGCATCTTCCCAATGACTACGCTGCACTGAAAGAGTTCTGCAACAATGGGTGGTTGTCGCAGGATGGGGGGTTTTGGCCCTTTTTGGTCTGGGACGCTGAGTCCAAGAGTGAAGGATTGTCCAGGGCTTCCCACGGCTGCGTTGAAGGAACACATCCAGGTGGTGGTTCGACACTGCCCAGTGGACAAGGCATTGGCGCGATTTCATCCCATGCGTCCCATGGTAGAATCAATGTCTGGAGAAATTCAGGGCTTCTTACTACAGACAGGTCTTTGCCGTGAGGAAGCCCAGCAGCTATGCCTTCATTTGAATGCGTTGTGCAACTCCAGTGCCCTCCAGCTTTGTGGCTGCACGCTGAAACAGGACCGTTCACAGCGCTCAAACTTGGCCGTGCAGCTCTCTAAAACGCTGGGGTGAGTAGGCCGATTCCGTTTTGATTTTGGTCATTGGCTTGCAGCATTGCCGAAGAGCAGCAGCTGCCGAATTTGGGCTCCATTATGCACATCCCTTTTTGCTATGAGACACAGAGAAAAAACAGCTTGCAGCAAGCACTCAGCTCCGATATGTGGTGCCATTTTTTTCCATGTGTATGCCTTGTGCTTCTAAGGCTCGTATACGCCGGACAAAGCCGCCATCCAGCGTGCCCTTTACATGTCCAGTGTTGCGCTCATCACACACAGGACAATGCCGATAGTTACAGACAAGTATGTCATTGCTGGCTGTGTGGATGCGAGTGGATGGCTCAAGAGTAGTGCGGATCCAGGGACTGATGGATGATTTGGAGTTCATGAGCTGCTCCACCTTGAAGCGCCGTCAATACTGGGACCAGCTGCTGAAGGGGCAGAAGTCCCAGACGAGTCTGAGCCCTCGTTCTGTTGGGAGGAGTCGGAGTCTTCCCTGAAGAAAACGGACAGTCTTTGCTCGCGCGAAAGCTTACAGGTTTATTCTCCATCCCCTACTATGTCCCCTGCTCTGCCAATCAGGTCTGCTGCAAATGAGTTCGGATTCAGTGTGGCATGATGCGGCGTCCCTCCCAGCTTGCCAGGCGGACATGATGCGGGTCTTGCGCGAGCTGAGCTATTCGCACTGGAGATTCTCCGAAGCGGATGGGCTACTGGAGAACACATCCTGCGCTTGACAGAGATGCTGCCATCCAGTGTGCGCTCGTTTCAGCCCGGAGTACAGGAACCAGAGCAGCTGGTACATCCAGGGTGAGGCAGAAGAAGCTCTGGAAGACTTGTCCATAGAAAAGGTTACTGCAAAGAATGGCTACAAGGATATCTTTAGCATCTCGGACGACAAGTACAAGGAACTGCAGCAGGAGTCCTTGCACCGAGGCCTGAAGGAATACTTCTATCAGGTCATGATCAAGCATGGCGAAAGCTATCGCAACTTCATGGTCAGGCTCGACACCTCGAACAAAAAGCTGGTCGAGCATGGCATCACGCTGCCGGAAGAAGTCCAAGGATAGTTTTTTGATGCGGAACGTGGGATTGGATCAGCCCTCGGAGTCGATGGTGTTGACGGCCGCTTCGGGATCGCTGAAGAAATCGGATGTGATCAAGGCAATCAATGCCATCTTTCCCCAAACAAAAGGCGGCGCACTCAAGAAGAGCGATGTCTTTGTGGCAGACGAGTTCGAGCAAGACTCCCACCTGCCAGCTGCGGAGGCAGAACTGCAGCACGACGAGGGAGAACATGAGGAAGTTCAAGATTGTCGCCGACCAGGTGCAGCAGAACAGCGACTATGAAGAAGAAGAGGCTTTGGACGTCTTCTAGTCGTATGGAGACATCAAGCGCAAGGTCCAGGACAAGAAGACCAGCCGTGGATTCAAAGGTGCGGGGAAAACGCAAGCCAAAGGACAAATGGGCGGTGCATGGCAGCTTCGAGGGTCCATCAAAGGACGCATTGACTTCATCAAAAGCAAGACCCGATGCCATGTCTGCAAGCAGCTAGGACATTGGAGGCGCGAATGCCCATTCAGGACCCAAAGGCCGTACAGTGGAGCTCGACGGCAGGAATCTCTACGACCAACGACGACGTGCACTACACGGATGTCCTCTCCTTTGACGAACACCAGGGTCTGCAGCCCATCGCGGAGGTCGTGGCGACGGAGGACAAAGGCGAGCGGCGACCTGGAACGAAGGCAAGGAATCAGACAGGAGAGTCCAGCGAAGCTTTGGCCTCAGAGTTTGTCTTGACTTTTGAACATGCTGTGCTAGACACTGCATGCCGCAAGTCACTCATTGCCTGAAGGGGAAGGGGTTCAAAGTTGAGTTCCGGGATGAGGTTAATGAGTTTAGGTTTGGGAATGCTGGGGTCATCAGGTCCGATAGGGTTGTCAAGCTTCCCCTCAAGTTTGGTAGTGTCAGGGTAGATGCGCAAGTAGCGGTCCTCCCGAAGGGAGGCTCTCACACACCGTTGTTGCTGTCAAAGGAGTCTTTCAAGTGGATTGGTGCCGTCATTGATACCGAAGCTAACACCTTGTATTGTAAGAAGTTAAGAAGTTAAAACAACACATTCCGCTGGCAGAGACCGAACGAGGACACTATGCAATCCCAATCTTGCCAGACATTCGAGAGGTGAACGAGACTTCGGCTTTGACAGGCTCACCAGCGAACTCTGAGGTGAACACTCCCCCAGCCAATTGCGTTCTCGAGCGCAGCCATGGACCAG